CACTCCGACCGGTGAGAGCGTGTCGCACGGCGCGGCTGGCTGGCGGGAGATTCTCGGCAGGTACCGCCTCATCTCCGCTAACATCGGGCTTAACTCAGTGCAGCGTCGTGAAAACGCTCCCGTTGAGCGGAGAGATGCTGCCGCTGTGCATGCCACTGCGACTGATGCTGCTTTTGGGGAGGCCGACTTGAAAATTCAACGGACGCCGGCTCATTGCAGCCGGCGCCTGCCTCCCTGCTCATCTCATTCCTGCGTGCTGTTTGTATGGTACCATTTGTAACGTTGTTAGGTACACTATTCCTTGTGCATGCATTGCTTCACGTGTTGAAAATCCTCCTGATGATTTTGTTCCTCACCTGTGAGAAGGTGGCAAGAATGTTTGCGCATCACCGGCGTGACAGAGCGCGAGCCGCACGGTGCTAACCATTTGAGATGAATATAGATCCAACCTCAGTTAAGGCACGTTTCAGCGAACCACGCAGCATTCCTGTTCCCTCAGAAGGAATGTTTTCACGCATCCGAAAATGACAAGTTTTGGTCTAAGAGGCAATGCAGGGAATGTCGCGTACAAGGCTGCACCGAAGCAACGCATGTTAGAGCACATCGTGTGCCTGCCGAGAAACCGGTCTCAGTGCCCGCAACGCATAGCCGCATATATATATATATATATATATATATATATATATATATATATATATATATATACGATCACAATGAAAAAACCTTAAACTGCGCCACGCTGTAAAGCTTTCCCCCAGCTGCTTTTGAATGTTGTCCAGTCATTTATGGTCATCATATGAATATGTACTTATCGATGGAGAACAGCCTAAAGAAGTGCTGCGAGTTGGGCCGTCTGATCCCACCATGATGTGTGACGTCTTGGTGCCAATGCGAAAAAACAATACATACGTGACACCGTTTACCCAGTGCGAGCCTGGGTACCTGTACAGCTTGCACGCACAGCATAGCGGATTGCCGATGTACAGTAGAGACTTCTTTTTCGCCCATGTCAACCGCTCATTAACATGCGCGCTGCCGTAACCACACCGCGCGTCGCAGCTGGCGGATTCCGGGCTGTGTTGTCATTCACAGACATGTCGGGTTAAATTCCAGGCATGTGGGAAGGCCGCGAGATCACCTTTGTAGCAATCACCGGCGATTGGGCACCCCATTCGCCAGATGGCTGATTGCCAGATAACGACGCGTGTTTAACGACTGAAAGTGGAGCATAAGTGAAACCGGCTCTTACTAAGCTATCTGCAGTCGTAAATGTTTTGCTAGTTTAGCTGTTCGCTAACAAAATAAAAGATGTACATGGCATTATTCAACATTAAAATGGTTAGAAAAATTGCCCTATTTGTCAGTAATGTCAAACCACGAAGGCACCAGCATGATTAGAGATATCGTGCATCGCAATTGGTAGCAATCAACTAGTTGCGAGAACAGAAAGGAAGAGGGTATATATATAGATCATTAATAACTACAGCGGACTTTGGCACCTAGCGTTGCTAAGCTTCTTAGAAGTTAATTCGGTGAACCGTATAAGTGGTTTCGTTCGAGGTGAATGCTCTTGCAGCACGTTACCGATGCTGACAAAGACATCATATGGACAGAAAATTGATAAGAACGCATAGATCTAACGTTTCGTTAGTCCCAGTGATATCTTCCGGGATAGATGGGTGTCGTTTAGCGCGATGGCATTACCTCAAACGGTTTGAAACTAAAAAAATTGACTCAAAGTTAGCAAAAATAACTTCTTGTCACCCACGCATTTCGGACTTCGAAAATTACAAGCATTTTACATACACGGCGCATCTATCTGATACGAAGCACGACACGTATAACAAGGTGTGCGTCGCAGGCTTTGACCTAGGTCTTAATCGAAGCGACTTAAATGGTCCATTGAATTCACATCTAATGAGGTAACCAACGTTAAGTCAGCTGCTTTAGTAACGAATGGTTAACAACAATTTACTTCCTATTCTAACTCATATATATATATATATATATATATATATATATATATATATATATATATATATATATATATATAGGTATAGGTTGCTATATTGTTAGGACTTTTCCAGTAGAAATGGATGCAGAAGGGAAGAGGAGTTCAAACAATTGTCTTCTCCAACAAGACTGTTTATTTAAGATGTGCCACTCTTGATTTCGGGGAACGAATGGTAAAGAATTTGGATGCTGACATAAACTTTGCATCATTTTTCATGCATTGAAACCAAAGCGATGCACTTTACGGCCCTAGTCAACATTCTAAACTGTTTCGGGATTATCTTCCTCTCATTCAGACATTCATAAAACTTCGGGATTATCTTACTCCCATTAGCCTGACGAACGTGCACGCAAACCAACGGCCATGCGAATATTTGAGAACAGAGCTGTCTTTGACATCCACTAAACGGAAATGTTGCGCTTTTTCAAATGTACTTGTTTTTGCTCGTGTTTAATTTTGCACTCGCAACAATTTTATCTCGCTATTTGATTCATCTGAGAAACAAAATTTGCAGATTGCAAGTGAGCTTAATAAGGCGGCCGAAATCTGATCTCGACATTACTGACCTGAGCAGCGCAGGACCAACGCCATGCCGAAGGGAAACGGACAATCATACTGGAAGACGGATGGGTTGATGCATGTGGCCAGAGTACAATCCCTGGATCCAGCGGTTATATGGCGCTTGTAAGGACCAATGTCAGATCTCGGCAACAAGAGGGAATAAAGACATGAAAACAGCTGCGTGGTGTAGGTGGAGTACCGGTTCAAACCAGCCGCATGGTGTAGGTGAGTATACCGGTACATAATCAACTGCGTGGTGTAGGTGAATGCACCGGTTCAAAACCAGCTGCGCGGTGTAGGTGAATGCGCCGGAACAAGCACAGGCAAACTTAACACCGTGCTGCCTGTACTGACGCCAGCAATCCAGCAGGCGGCGACCTGCTTGATGCGGTTGTTATACCCCAGCCGCAAATACTGCAAGCTGGGCCAGACTGGGACTGGGCAGTGAAACCTGCACAGACCCGCAGTCTAGTTTACCACAATCAGCATCCACCTCGAGAATACAAGTGTTTCCAATGTGTGAAAACACAGGAACTGAAAACGCAAACCATTTTAACTCATCAACAAGTCTTTTAAAATGTCCAAGGCATCGCTGAGCTCGAAGGCAGCCCACTTTCCGGGAACATATTGCGTAAATTTAAGCATAAATCAGTGGACCACTACATGCTGAACACTGAAGGATATTGCGATGCATTAATAAAACCCATTTTGCATGAGTTTCGAAAGCCGGGACGGCTTGATATCATCCCCCATGAAGATATCAGGACGTCGGATCAGATGGATATCAACACTCGCGTCTGTTGCGACCTCGCCCGTCCCACGCCGTAAAACGCCTTCCGCTGGAAATCAAGTCTACAAGAATTTCTCTTCCTTGCCCATCAAAAGCTGTGTTGATGCGAAGTCAAGCGCATGTTCGTTTGCAGTCGAGGAACATCAGTGTACTGTACTGGCTCTGTCACTCAAGCAGTCCTGCCGCCAGCGTCATGAGAGCCTTCATTATTGTGGGACGATCGTAACGCTCTGCCATTCACATGGCTTGGAATTTCTCTTTGATTATCGTGGTACTTGCATACTTATTTCAGTGGCTCCCTTTGCCCCGCGTTCCCAGGCGCGCCGGTTGTTTCCCTACACCCCGACCAATCACGGACTCCCTTCACACGCAAAATCATCAGGCCTGAGCCCACTATTGTATCCGTACAGAAACATTAAAAGTCTGCTGCGTGGCTAATCAGAACCATCTCAAAATATCTAGCTGCGCAGTGTGAAGGCGCTTTGTTACCAGCGTGCTGAGGTGTGGTGTGAGCACCAGAACTGCCGTGCAGTCCGCGTCTCGTTCTGCGCCTCTGCTGCTGTCAAAGGTAGTTCCAGGGGCTTTTTGCATACCGTCAAGAAAAAATCGCTGCATCTGACGCGATTACGAACATTCCCCACCAACCTCCTCGTAGCCCCGTGTCAACAAGCATTCGATTACCATGTTGCCTAAGAAAGTGTCTCAGGGATGTACGGTTTCGTCTGACACTCCGTCGCTGCAATCAGATTTGAACGATTCCCTAGAAATTGGCTTGCTGAATCAATAGCCTGATTTGGCCTGACGCAGGTCAGCGACCTTACAAAATAGATCTAAATGCATACACCAAACGGTATGCTATGCAATTACTTACAGCTATGGCGTAATTTGGCGCGGCTACGCCATGCCGCTCGAAAACCATCCGAGAAAAACCTTCAGGGGTCAAATGGACCCACCCGAGCGCAGTTAAAGGGGACGACGGCGGCAGTGAGATGCTGACCCCGGGCCGGTCTTGAAAATGACGACGGCGGCAGTGAGATGCTGACCGCGGCCCGGTCTTTAAGGGGACGACGGGGGAAGTGAGGCGGCGCGGGTCACGCACCGCACGTCCGCGCCGCACCGCCGCCGGCCGGCGCGCGTGGCGCACGTGGCACGTAACGCGGAGCTGTGCCGCGACGCCGAGCTCGGGAACATGCGCCACGTGACGCGCGCGTGTGCGACGGCGCGCGTTCCACGCCGTAGCGCCGTCGGCGGGCGGTGCGCTGCCCCGGGTTGCCGGCTTCCAAGCGGGCCAGCGCCTGAGGGCCGGTTCTGTGCACTGGACCGTGTGGCGACCTGCAGCTGCTTCCGCGCAAGGGGAGGGGGCGGGCCGCACCGTGTTTCGCTCTGCCGAGTGCCGCCGGTCGGTGAGCGGCGGGCGACCTCGGGACTGGCCGGGGAAGCGCGGGTGATCTCCCGTACGCGGCGCGCTGAGGCGGCGCGCGGCGACACACTCACGGCCCCAGCTGCGGTGGTCGTGTCTGCCGGCAGCGGCAGCTGACCGTGCCGCATTCACAGCTGGCCGTCATCTCACTCCCGGACGGCCTTCACACACGGAAGGCAGCCTTTCTGTCCGTGCGCTCAGTCACGCCCGTAGACATGTCGGGTGTGGGATTGGGACCTGCTTTCATTCCTTCAGCAAAATTCTGGCTCGACGCATGCACTCGAAACCGCAGAGCACCATAAACGCCGAGGCGCTAGCAAGCGATTGGCACGAGCCGGCTATCACTGACGGGTACCACGTGAAGCGTGCTAAACGTGTCGATGATCGGCGGCCGGCTGAAGACAGCGCCGTAAAAGCCGCATTGGTTCTATTTTCGACGCCGAAGCTTCCACCACCGGATCACGCCAGGGGCGGGACCCCTGCGGCCGATCACGGCGCCGGGGGTCGGGCCGGACAGTCGCCGCAGACACACGCGTCGTTGGATCGGCGCGGCGGTCACCGAGACGACGGGGCCTTCCGCTCGGCCGCCGCCGGCCGGGCCAGCATGACCGGCCGGGGCCGGGCATAACCGGCCGAGCGGCGCCGGCGGCGAGGCGGTCGGCACACGCCGTCATTGCGGCCGCTGCGCCGCGCCGCCAGATTATTTGTGACTTTCGCGCGCGTTACGCGGGCTGATTACCGCGCCGCAGGCCCGCTTTCGACGGCAGCAATGGCGTGACGATGGACCGGGAGGCGACCC